ATTGGGCAAAAAGGCATGATTTACTTTTGGTGATAAATAACAGACTTTATCAATATTAGAGGCTATATATTTTCTCAACCATGCATCTTTCATTATGGCCGGTAGCAAACACAAAATACTTTGATCCTCTTTGCTGATGAAAGGATTCCCGAGTCCCTACCCTCATTGCACTACAAAAACAGTTGGGCTATAGTTTAAGCGGGCCGGGGCCTGATGACATCAGAGTGAGTGAGTAATCACTTTCTCGAGTTCCAAATTGGCAAATTCCCATCTACTCTGCCCCCCCCCCCCCTCCCTCTCTCGCGCGTTCGTTAACTTCTGAGGGACCTACCGGCCCAGGCTAGAAATTAGGATATGCACTGATACGCCTGAAAAGAAGTTGTAGCCGATAGGGAATTAATACTGTCAAATACCAACTGCTACAAAATATCCATTAAAGAGAAGGGGTGAACAGTTTATAGTTCATAAGCCATGCGTACTAGCTATAAGTCCGTGACAAGAGAACTTGTACGGATGGACGGACCCATCACAAAACAAGAGATCACACAGACAAATGGACGCGCGGATGCATACATAGCTGTAAAGGTGAAATCTTTATGATGAATGGGTCGAAACAGAGGATGTTGAAAATCTTAAGCCGGTGCTTTCACAAGAGTAGCTGGGAAATCCAGCACCACGATCTTCTCAATGGCAGCTGAAAACGTTGTTGAGAACTCCACATGATTCGGGTGACCCTGAAACGCAGCGAACTCTTCTTTCTTGGCGAATGTCATGAGGAAGGCATGCGTGAAACCTTGTCTCAGCACATCCAGGCTTTCAATGTCCTGTCCCCTGCTTGGCACCAAAGACGCATAACCCGTTAATATTCACACACACGGTACCTGGTGAATAAATACTGAATGGAGAGAAACGAAACGGCATATGCTTCTCACCATTCAAAGGACTTGACATTGTCAATCTCTGACACCATCTTCTCCATCCCTTTGATGAGGTCTTCAACGACCACCCCTTCCTTGAACTTGACAACAACTAAATGCTTGAAATCTCCCTCTCCCATGCCTGAAACTGATCAGGGCACTTGATTGATTATGAGCCAGAACCCGTGGCGACCAGTTCAATTTATAACGCGAGCGTCAACCTTTGCGAGGGCACTGTTACTCACCGCCCTTTTGGCGGTAATGAAGTGAGAAAAGCTGTTTTGGGAGACAGCATCCACGGCTGAATCTTTGAAAAGGTACAATTTCTTGGAGGCATAGACCCACCAGAGAGAGCAACTTCTTCTCTGAATTCCACCGTAAGTGTTGTCTCGTGCCGTTGTCTGGGCACAGAGGATGGGGTCCTAATTATTTGGTGTTATATTCGCATAGAAGTTTGAGTTATGAGTTGGCCTCTCAGAAACATTATGATGATGTGGCAGACCCATTTTTTTTTCTGCCTGGACTTTTCTCCATGACCTCGCCCATGTGCACCACCAGCGCTCATTATTCCCCTTTCAATACATTGGATCACATGTCGTGCACTCGTATATTTATCATCAAGGTATCTGATTGACGGGCATTTTGGACCCTAGTCCCAAGTCTGACTTCGGCTGATGAGCCGAAGATGGTGATCACGAGAATACAGTCCGATTGGAGGTGGTCAGTGAAAAGTTTATTAATTAGATTTCCTCACATTTATTGCCTGCTTACGGATCTAATAGTGCTTCCATTCGCATTGCAATTATTAACGAGTCCTCTAGGGCAAGTGATCACGGAAGCAAAACTCGCAGCCGGAGTCACTGTCTGGTGGAGACCAGATAGGGTATACGCGATGGGATGAGGAGGTGGGAAGTGAAACGATATGTCTTCCCGCGGGAAATGTTTTTAGTAGCAAGTCCAGGCAATCTATCTCAGTCAGCATTGATTGGCACAGTAGTGTTGGAATTATTTTTCTCGATCGCTACTCAGTCCTGGGAGTCTCAATCGCGTTTGATGGTGCGTTTAATCAAATAATGTCAAGACAGGCTTGGACGGGTCCGTCTCTCTCCGACACGTTACATTAAAGCTCCGTTCGCGCGAGGGGTGACTCCTTTTATCTGCCGAATAATTGTTTGAACTAACCGTTCAGAACAGGGGATGAGACATATACCCCAACTCTTGATAATTGAGGCACAAGAGCCGTCAGGGGCGAGTGGCATTTTTTTGTGGACGCTATTCTCATCTCATTAGGAAGTGGATGCAGCAGGAAAAAGTAAACAGCTAAAAAATAAAGTGGAAAGGGCAAAGCAGTACAAGTCGCTCCCACGTGTCTCCAGTATAAGGTGCCTGAGAGATTGTTAGATTAATAAATTAGTTCAAAATAAAGTATAGTTTAATCGGAGAATTAATTTATTTATTTCACGAATACTCACCATTAATTACACAGTCAAGCTTTTTCACTGAGAATGAGTAGTAGAGAGAAAATATATAGTCAAGTTTTCTGGGGGGAAAATTATTTTGAGAGAAATTTAATGAGTAGCGCGTTTTAACTATTTTTCTTGATTATATCACCTTCAATGTTTTACACAAGTCATTCTTAACTAATTCATTGTTGAAATTAATAAGTAATAGTTAAATCATTGATATATGTAAAAAAATAATTTGTTCTTATTAAATATTTCTCACGTGTGAATTAAAAAAATTCAGGAGGAAAGTTTTTGGTTGAGGAATTCCTGAATTCTACCCGAAAAAGAAAGGCGGGACTAAAGGCACAAACATGGCACTTGCTCTCACAGCTTTATTTGATTCCCTCCAATATTATAATACCAACAAAACTTCTGACATATGCGCACCGGCTCAAAAGTTTGCTTTATACTCTCAGAGACGACTCCCCTGATGCGTCTGTTTGCTTTGGTGTGCAGACCTGGGCTGGGCTCCTGCCCTGCTTTGCGTTAAGGGAATCGATTGGGAGGATGGAATGTAAAAAACTAGGAAAATTCATAACTGTCAGACCCAGAGCCTGAGAAGTGTATATTTTTAAATTAAAAAAAAAAAAAAAAGACGCTGGAAGGATCGATGTTACGTTGGCACAGGAGAGACTGGCGGGAGAAGAATTCAGAACTGCGTGCGTGTGAAACAAGTCAGTCTCCCACTGATGTCTCTATAGCTAATGATGTATTGTTAGCGTCGGTCGGCACATCAGAGTTTTGACTTTGTTTATTATCAGATCTTATACTCCAACAGCAATATAACCAACCACAAGTGACTTAAACGATGATCTGAAGTATTTGCCATCCACATTTACGGAATTGTCCCTGAGAAAGCCATCATCTACTAATTTTAAATCTAATAGCGGTCATTTCAACAAGCAGGAAGTTAAATGTCAAGATCTGTGAGCTGAGGCGTGATTATAAACATTGCAGAGTGAAGGTGGAGGGGTTCAGGGTATTTCGGCTTCTTTTTAATTTATTGGCTCCTATTCCTCGCCTTCTGTTTTCTTTTCCCCTGAAATGAGAAACATAACAGACACGTTCACATTATTGGTGTCAGGCATCCAGTGAATGGGCGGCTACCCTTCATGGCTTCATTGAAATAGACGCGTCATAACATGTCCAGCCGCTGACAATCCCTATACGATAGAAAATCACTAATTCAGTGTATGTACTACACTCGCTGGATTTTTATTCCTTGCATGCACCAAACTCTCAATTAACCAATTAACTTGCTGTCTCTTTGCTACTGTTAATAATATTTATATTTCCTCCCTTCCCACCTATTAGATTGGAAGGGAAGGAATATATATTTAAACAATAAAGATAGATTTGGTTGATGATTGCTTGACTTCTAAGGTCATCTAATCAAACCTCACTGAATATTAACACTTTGTTAGTAGAAATCTATAAATACATACTTCTCCAAGTGTTTTTTTTTTTAATTTACAAACATGCATGTCTAGGCCTTTTATGAGCCTTTGACGCCAAATTCACCTTTCTTTCTTTTTTTTTTTTGAGAAAAAAAATATATCACATTTGGATATATTTGTGACTGCATTATCTTCAGCATCAAGCCTATAAGAAAAACCCAACGCCTAAGCCCAGCCCAATATATTATGAAAGAATTGAACCGTCAGTTTTAAACGTTTTTGGCCTTTTAAGTTCGTGTTTATTAATAATTAATTTGAAAGCTTTGAACTTCAAAAATAAAATTGATGCCACTAGCTAGTCGCTCTTAATTTTTTGACAAAAAAAACTAGTCTAATTATTAATTAGTCATGGATATAAATCTAAATGGACAAAGAACGAGCACTTTTACATTTTCTGGTCTTTTATGGAAATCTACATCGCAATTAATTAACGTCTTGGGAGGAAGAAACAAGACAAATTTGAGGTGGTTGCTGCGTTAGATATTTTGGAGGACTTATGCTCCTTTGGTTCTCGTTATTCATACAATTGTAGGATGAAGACAAACAGAATAATTGAACTCCTGGACTCTATATCTTATGTAGTGAGGGTTTAGCATTTGGACTTTATATATATAAGTAAGTGATGAATACATCAATACATTCACATTGCAGGTTAACAATAAATAATGTCGCTCGCCGAAGAGAAATTAAATTAAATTACTCCATACACCGTGTTGCAAGAAAAATATATATAGGATCATCCTGTTGATCAGATAAATTTACACTTATTCATTGATTAATAAAAGCAGACGAAAACATTTAAATTGTTTTACCTTTGTTTTTCTTACAGTAGTCAAATGCATATAAATGAACATCAGGCAAAAGGAAAAAAAAAAAAAAAAAACACCACGGCAAAATTTCTCAGAAACGCTTAGTTGCCAAATCGATCTCAATACAAGTCTTTCTCCGGCATCACACACCCACTCCAACCCGCACCTATATATTAAAAGTTACTTTATACAGATAAGACATCTGCGAAGCCGTCGAACTTACAACGGATATTTTTCCCCAAAAAAATGTCAGGAAAAATGGATCACTCGTCATTGTGTTTGGCAAAAATAAAAAGGATTGTGTTATGAGGCGTGGCAGAGATACCAGATTTCAAAAAAATTAAAAAAAAATATAACTTCTAATTAAATGTGAAGAACCTAAACTTCTTTTACTACGGTTCATTTAAATGTGAGAATGTGAAATAAAAAAATTAATATAGATACAAGAAAATAGAGACATATTAATTAAACAAAGAGGTGGCGGCCTATGTCAATTGTACAATAAAAAAATAAGATTAAAATTACATGATAAAAAAAATAAAATAAAGTAACAAATGCGAAATCTGAGATTGATAGTTTATTGATGCTGATGATAATTCTTGTTGAGAGAGGGCTTCTTTATTTATAGATGATCCTAACTTGATATTCAAATCTCATGATCATCAGTTTTCTTGAGTTTAAAAACCATTTCCTCCATCTTGGTTACTTATCATGGGTAGAGTGTGGATGGTCTTAATTTAATAGCTAATGCTTCATAAATATTTTTTTAATTATTTTAAATTCAATTAAGTTGAGTTGAATCTGAGCCTCTAAATTTATTTTGAGTTCAAACACATTGAACTCGATTTTTATTTTTATAATATAAAGTTTTGAGTGAATTAGCCGGATACCAGCGGCTCACCAGGCCAAATATAGTGTTTATAATTATACTTACAGATTAGTGCAAGTATTAATTGATTAGTGTATAATCTGGCTTAATTAACTGTTCCCTTACCCAAAATGTGTTAGTGTTCAATTCCCAAGTTCTTAAGGTATATAAGCTAACATAAAACCTCCTCCTTTTTGGAAACCATAAAAAATTACAATTTCGATTTGGGGTATCCTCTCTGCTATACGATGAGAATGAATAGAAATTTGTATGACGAAATATTTGCTTCCAGCAGACAAAGAGACAGTGAAGAGTAAAGAACAAAGAAAGAAGAAGAATGAGGAGCCTCGAGGTGGCATTAGACAAACCATGGGTTTTGAGGCAAACGGGGAAATGATAATTTTAAATATATGTAGACATGTGTGTGCGTGTGTACTGTAGAGAGAGAGAGGGGGGGGGGTCCTAATCCTCTGATTAAGCAGAATTTATGAGAAGCGTGTTTATACTTTATACATGTAATTTTACACTGATTTCATTAATCTTGTATTATAATATTTTAC